TGTATTGCTTCTGCATGGAGATTTTGAGATCGATTGTTTTTTTTTTCATAATGTAAAAAAAAAAAGCAAACAAACAATCAAATATATGGAGATAACATAGAGTATTCATGTTCAAAAGTTCTATAAAAAATAAAAATTTGGAGCAGAGCAATTACGGACCTCGCAAACATCAGGGTTGGGATCAGGTGCCATAAAGGAGTGAACACCCCTGCCGACTTGTCACACCTGCCATATGCTCCTTGTCATGATCGACAATTCAGTGTGTGTAAATAATGGCCTTACAATTAGTATGGAAAACCTCAGTCAACATTTGACTGAATGGTAAATTGTATATACTGGCATAGCCATTGTATTGACCATAGAACTTACCAAATGGTGACTTTGGCCAAACAATAAAATGCTATTATCATGAACATCTAATTTTTAATTGAACTAAAGTTTAGGATATTTATTATATGCTTTTAACTCATTCTGTTGATTGTTTGTGTCTATTGTAAGAAATTTGTCTGGATCTCTTCTATCGTTGGTGCTTGTCAAAATTACTACTTGTGTCAAACAAATTTCTAGTTCTTGAATTATATAGTTTTTCTTTCAGAAGGTTTTAAATTTGACATAAAATGTGTTGTTGTGTTAAGAATATACATGTAATACAATACGTGTAAATAAAAAGTCATAACTGAATCACTGAAACGGCGTGGGAGCATCTGATTTGCAATGTTGTCAAAAAGCCAGCAAATCTTAATTTGAAAGGATTTTTGTAATCTGTAAAGAAAACACACAGAAATCCACATGATGATGCTGATTATTATTTATTTTATTCAAATAAAATCCATAAATCTTTTCATTTGATAAAATTTACAAATTATGTATGCAGCTAGAATGTGTTTCTTTAATCTGCATGAAAACTTTAAAATGCAAGTTTTGTAACATTATGGGAACGATTGATACATTTATTTCTAAATTATATCAACAGATTTAGTTTTAGATGTAATCTTGATTAAACATCGCCTTTCTCTGTAGGGTTCTACTATTTCTCGCTCTGGACTTTCCAGTGAAGAAATTCATTCTTGCGTGACTGATTTGAAAAGAGGACTTGAAGATTTGATATCTTTTGGCAGCCTGTGATGAAAAGTGGTTTAATGGATAAAATGATACAGGATGAATTTCATTTTTCACCATGCACATGGCAAATGAGCCATCACTCTACGGACTCATGTTTTGTTGTAATGAATTTCGATCTATTTTTTTCTTTTTACGATGTAAATAAGACGATTCAGTAGCCTAAAAATGTTTTATTCTAGACATTTCATATAAATTATGTTTTAGTTTATTAGTTATTTGATAAGACTTGATAAATTGATGATAAAAAGACATATATTTTACCCAAAGACATATGTGTAAAGGGACAAAATTTTAGATTTTACATATACATGTTTTCGACAATAAAGAAAATAAAATATTTTATATAATGTTTTTTTAAAAGAGGAATTTAACATTCGCTGAATAAAAAAGGATTTTTAGTTTAAGCTGATTAGATATTCGTTTTATGATTCATAATAATTATTAGTAGAATTGATGCAAAAACTACTGCAATCCCAATCATTTATATATTTACATGCATATTTTGGCTGCATCTGAATTTATTAAGCACAAGACGCAAAATGTAAGAGTGAGGAAAACAATCTTTAAATATAAATCTAAATATGACTAAAATGAGGTAGCCGAATAACATACCTGATACTAGAACATAAAAAGCAACCAAAATAGGAGCTACAGAACTGTAGTACTCTCCGAAAAAATATATTGACAGACCGGAGATCTTCCATTCCAATTTTTTTTCCCAAACCAGCTAGCTACAATTTCTCCGAAAAAATATATTGACAGACCGGAGGTCTTCCATTCCAATTTTCCCCCCAAACCAGCTAGCTACAATTTTGCATTTACCAAAAGAAAGCAAAAATATATAGAAGCAATATTGAAATATTAAGGTCAAAACTTAGAATAAGTTGCGATTGTCAAATTCCTTTAAAAAAAAATGTATAGAAAAATATCCTAATCGAAAGCTATTCAGATATTTATTTGGTAATATTTCCATTTCTAATTTTTCTATCTGTGATAACTCTTTGAAAGTTACCGGAGATAATTTCTTGATAATTCTACCGGAATGTAAATTAGGCAGGTCAATAGGTCAAACGCTAAGGAGGCCAAATATGCACGAAAATCTCGTGCGGCTGCCGTTGTGTTTGACGTCAGTGGACGAGGACTATTGAAATTAGAATGGGAATCCTCATGTAATTTAAATTTATGCATTTTTAAAGTCTAAATCTACAATTTTATTTCCCAATGAAATATTAAGGAATCACTGTCTAAGTATAGTATGCCATGGACATCAACAATAGTGGGAAACATGGGATAATTTATGCATAACGGGCTTCGCCCGTTATGCAAATTATCCCATGTTTCCCACTATTGTTGATGCCCTGGTATCTAACTAATATTTTTATAAATATATAGAGTAAATGTAAAAGGTTATAGGTTCACATGACGGCACCTGATCCCACCTCTGATGTTTTGGAGGTCCGTATTATGACGGCACCTGATCCCACCTCTGATGTTTTGGAGGTCCGTATTATGACGGCACCTGATCCCACCTCTGATATTTGGAGGCTCGTGTTTGCTCTGCTCCTATTTTGTATTGTTTTAAATGGATTTTTTATCTTGAATACTATTTGTTATCTCCATATGTTTCAAGTAGAACTTTGTATATTTTAAAGCTTGGTTGTATCTGAATACCTTGTCCAATGAACAAAAATACTATAGTATAGATAGAACCTTACATGTAAAAGTTAAATCAGTTATTTTAAAAACGTTTGGGAAAAATGAAGAACTTACACAAATAATACGATTTGTTATTGAAAAAATGAATCATGAATAAAAGATGTATACTGGAAAAAACTTAGTTTAAGAGCTTTCAATTTTTATACTTACTGAGTACAAAAACACAACATTTATAGGAGTTAAGGAAAGAAACCTAACGAAGAGGTACTGGGTTTGACGTACCTGATACTAAAACAAACAAACCAACAACCGAGATATAATTTAAAAAGAAACCGAAGAAAGGAAAAAAGTATAAGGAAGAGAATTGAAATATTAAGGTCAAGAACTTATAGATGGCACCAGTGGCGATTGTGTAGCTGTTCCTTCCCCTCTAGTTATAAACATCACCATCAGCCAAACAATCAATCATATCCGATATTGATGTCACACAACCATTAGCGCTATGAAATTATATACCCATGTCCATATGCTAGCGACGATTTGGCTACAAATGGAAGTCATGCATCGGCTGGAAAAACGATCTTGATTTGTTTCCAAACTTTTTTCTCGCTGCATAGAAACAGAGGACTGGACTGTAGAAAGCCGTAAATTCTACTCTTATGCATCCATTTAACGGATTAGTTTCTTACAACATTGTCAGTTAATGATCTCAAAAGAGGGACTCTAATTAAGAGCGGATGCTAAACCTAGATTAATAACCAAACATGAATATTTCAGTACCATCTTATAGATGTCATGCTTAAATGGCTCCCCTGGGAAGCGGTCTTGTAATTCAAATATCAACTCTCAATTATAATGTTTGCATTTAGGTATTTTTTCTCTGAGCCATTTTCTCCGGCTATAATTCAAACGATCACTAGCACTCTATCTCTCTAATGAAATAGGACCGAAGCCAAAAGAAAATTAAATAGAAAGAAATGACGTCATCATCTAGCACAATGCTACATATCATTCAATTGCAAAACTAACAGTTGAAGTTCATAAAATATTTAAGGCCCACTACTGGTGTAATTCAGTTTTGTTTATCACCTGTCCCGTCAGGTACGAGAACAGGATTAAATGTCCATTGTAATCAGAAATTGTTCACTTTCGTGAGAAAGTCAATACTATAAATTAATTATTCTGGCCGCCCAATTTCTCTGTGAACATCTAAGGTTGTAATAATCACGAAAACGATGCACAGTTTACATCATGGTGTCCGACATTTTAACGATGTTATTTTGTGAATCATTGTATTAAACTCGGAATGGATCAAAGTTTTTTCCTTCTACAATCACTGACCTGTGACACAATTTAACTGCACCTGCAAAATTATTTGCAATATAATCTGTCCTTTAATTTTCTTTTTATAACGTTCTGTTGTTTTTACATCTCACGTAAGACTGCACAATACATTAAGTTTTCTTTGGAAATAAAATCGAATTGAGAGCAATTTATGAAACAAAAAGATTCCCTTTGTTTTCCCTACTTTTATTTTGACCTTTTATTACAGTTTTATATTTCGATTGCGAGATGACGTTATTTAAAAATGAGATGAAACGTGTTTTTCTTTCTTTTAATTTTTAAAATAAAAGAGTAATTATTCCGAAGAGAAAGACTATCCTTTTTAATAACAAAAACACCACAACTTATAATTTTAGAAAATCAGGTGCTTTTCATCACCTAGAAGTCATTTTATATATAAATTAATAAATAAATAAGAACATTTATAGTTCAAAATATATGTATATTTGTATTGAACTTTACGACGCTTCAGATTTACATCCCATTTATATAAAAATAAAAATATAAAGTTCTGATAAGTAAAATGTCAGATTCTCTTCTAATCCCACGAACGAAATCTGAACACTATTCTTTTAACCTCTTCTATATTATAAATGATGAATTTCATAATAAAATATTTAAATTAAATGTATGGAAATCTATAAGTTTTAATTTTTGTTTCTGTAAAGCAAGGAAAAATGTAAAAAAAAAATTTAATAAAAAGAGAATCGTTGATAACTGGTGAATAAACCTTATGATTATATTTGTAAAAAAGCGCTTTAAGCACTTACCTGTTTTGATATAAAACCCTTTATTTTGTTTCTCACTGAGACGACATTAATTAATAAAACCTAATTTAAGTCCACTTCAGCACTCGTGTACATTTAAAACTGACTTACTCTCCCGTTTTCCTGAAGCCTTTAATATACCAGCCAAAAACCCAAAAGAATTGTTAGGATTGCAAACCCGATCTGGTTCCATCATATCTATCCTCCTCGGTCCCATCTTGAAATCATACAAAAGCTTTTGCTGCGACATTCGGGGACCCGTTATCCAAGCATATCACAGTCTCTGATTGTCTTTCAATTTGGGGTAACCCTAGTGAATTGAAGCCGTGACAGAAATCCCAGAAACGTGCCCTAAAAGTGCGCAAGCAAGCCCCCCAAAGGTTTTTATTTTTTGGATTTATGTTTGGTCTTCAATTATTATTTAGAAAGCTGACGTATTGATGGCTTGCTGGTCATAAAATATATTGTTTTAAGAATGGAAAAATCGAATTTGCTTTAATATAGAATGCATAAACTAGAAATAAAAATGATCATTCAAGAGAGGCTAAAGTAGGAGATTCTCTGAAAGAAAAAAAGAAATAAAATGTTTTATATCAAAAAATAGAATTTAATATAATTAAAGTTATTTTTTTCTTCACAACAATTTTTAAGAATAACCAATAGCTGTTAAAAGTCTTGAAATATACCGGTATATGAATAAACATGAATTGACCTTATTATAGTTTTTAATAAGGTGAATAACAATGCTTTGGGCTGTGCAATAAATTGTCACATTTCCTTAATTGATTTTGGCATATTTGCATAAGAATCCTCGGTGGTGCCAAGTGATTCTCTGATATCTGCAAAAACGTCATAAATTGGCAGTATTTCAAATTTCTAGGGAAATGAAATATACATTGGAGGGACGTGGTGTCATTATCAATTTGGACAAGTTAATAACATGGCCGTAGCTAGCATGTGAAGACCAAATATAGTCGATCCCTATTACCGCCTCTTTCTGAGTAGTCACGGAAACCAAACTGAAATCCACTAACAAATAATTAGAGTATAAAATTTTATTAATGTTTTGAAATATGTATAATTAATTTGCTTATTATTTTGAAATGCTAACTACAAAGAATAAGATTTTTATATAATGAATATTTTTCGCCAGTGTTAACTTGTAGTTAAATGGCTATTGGCATGAGAACACAAAATCATATGTACAGATAAATGAAGTTGAAAGATTATTCAAAATATTATTAAAGATTTAATAATTTCAGAAATATTTCATTTGAAAAATGCAGAAAAAGTCAATAATCTTCTAATGGAATAATATTCTTTATTGCGTTTTTTTTTTAAAGTTCTTTAAAACTAAACAATTTTCTTTTTCTGTTCCGACAATATCTTTTATTTCTTTATTCAATTTTTTTTATATTTATTCATTAATTATGATTATTAATAAACTTTATAAGATAAGGTTTTTGTAAAATTCAAACTCAACTTGACAGAATACAGTATTTGAAATGACAAATAAGGAACAGGGATCAATATTATAAGACCAACAAACAATACAACTCTGTGAATATGTGTAGATCCCTGGACATAAAATCATAAGTTTTCAATTAAACTTAGATTGTTTTATAGACACACCTTTAATATAACTACAATAGCCACCAAAATCCCCCTTAATGATTTGTTTTACCTTTTACTTTATGTCATTGAATTAAATGACATATTCGACAAAACTGCATATCTGTGTTTGGTTATTTTTCACTGCACTATCAGGCTGATATTTCTCATAGGAGGCATAAATACATTTAAATGGTAAGGAGGATAAGATAATGGGAAAATATTAAGTAAGATGGTTTGGAGGGTCTGTGTTTGCTCCGCTCCTAATTTGTAATGTTTGGTGGACTTTTTTTTTCTTTTTTATGAAAAATATATTTTGTTTTTCATTCACTCCTATTAAGCAAGTTCAATTTTAGTAAAATCCTTTGTTGAAATATTAAGGTAATGTGTAAGAGTACTGATATTCTCTTCAAATCTTTTCTCTCTCCAGATTTTGTAGCATAAAAACAATAGAAAAAAGGAATCCTATGGCCTCTTATTGATTTATGTAAGACGATAAAATAGAAGGAATTATATATCAGCCTTTTTACTTGCATGTCATATGTATGATAAGCAGATGAGAAAAAATAAACGTTACAATGCGTAGATTCGTTTTATTTCTCCTTAATATCATTACCTTAATTCTCAATATAAAGAAGATGCAAAAAACTTTTTCTCATTCAAAATTTTCAAAGAGCGTCAACATCAACGAAAAAAAGTGCAAAGTGGCAAACCGCTAGCACTACCGGTTATTGTTTACATTTTTTTCAAAATCTTAAATTCAACCATATTCATTTAAAAGAAAATATGCATTTATCTAGTACACTGTGTGTATACTAGCAATATATATTGTACAAGAACCACCCTCATGAATTAGTAAAATCGAATCAAGCAAGAATATTTTTTGAAAATAAATATTATATCTAATAGTCACTTGTGATATGTTACTCTGCAGTAAAATAAAGATGTAACTACATGTAGCTGTTTTTATAGGAAGAACATTGTGTTGACAGAACTATTCACAATTACCATTGTTTTGAAATATTCTTCAATATACATGCATGTACAACAAACGTGCCCTAATACTTAAGTCCGTAGAAATTAAAAATCTGTATACGATCATTAATTTAGCAAAGTAAACGACAAAACCATGAACGACTTTCATTTTCTGATTTGATCGTGTTCGCGCGGTAATTACATGTTTGCATGTTGATGGCTTAAAAAAGCTGCATTAGCATTATCTTTATGGTCCTACGTTTATTAAACAACAAACGCCCCTGAGTATTGTTATTGTGGAACCCTTCATGTTTACCACGACTTCTAGCAAATTAATGAATATACGTTGCAATTAGTTCAATATCTTTTTGTTAATTATTGAAGTCAATGGGTACAAAATTCGGAAGCATTACCTTAATTAATGATAACTCTAGCATTCAGGCATCGCCGTCTTTGGTTACGGGGACTTCTGGGAATGAAATAAAGACGGGTAAGAAAGTGGGAAAGAAGTCAGGGGACGACAAACAGCCTCGCTGAGAATACAAACATCTTTATTTGATGATGCTTGTCTGCGATATATAGCACTATTCTCAGACCTAACGGTTACAGTCTGGGGTCAGGAGTCTGTAAAGTTGTAAATAATACCTTCTTTTTTATTGTATCTCAAATTACATTGTCTTTTTGGAACAATTTGATTATGACTTGTACATGATTAAATGCCAGCAACTTAGTTACGTCCGTATGTTATGAAACATGCAACCATTATGGTGTATATGAACATTAAGAAAAGATAAGGTTCTTTATGTTAATTATGAAATAGTACAGATTGTAGAAGTAAATAAGTTTTTCTTAGAAAGAAAATCTCCAAGAAGCAGAAAGCTTTGTTGTATATTACTCAATGTTTATAATTCCAAGGAACTCTTTGGACATTTGAAATCAGAAAATTGTGCCAAGTTCAACAACATGAAAATTTACGACTTCTTAACTTCATAATTTATACTTGTATTCCCCAAAATAAATTAAAGTCCAGACTTTCTGATATCATTGACAGTTCCTTTTTCAATAAAAAGGAAGTAAAGATCAAATTTACGTATTTTGTCATTGGTGATTTGCAAAATTACTTTGTTAGAAAAAATTTGATTATATACACAAATACTCTGATGAAAAAGATGCTTGAGTTTCTGATTGATAATATCTATGTGGATTTGGAGAGGACGTCTTCCAACAATCTACTGAAATTCAAAGGGTACCAATCGCGCCCCGTTATTACCAGACCTTTTTTTGTATTTATTCCCAGTATATGAAGCAGAATTTGTTTAAAATCATTTACTTCACGTAAAAGATTTTGAACAAAAAAAAAAACACTTGCTGTTGCCTTCAACTCGACATTTAGATACATGTATATCGACGACGTTAACAAGGAGTTATTTCCATTCTTATGTCGACACGATATAATCCAAGTGAGCTTGAAATTAAAGATACCTCAATGTCTGGTACATCTTTTTCATACTTGGATATTTTACTAGAAAATGCTGTTAATGGTAATCTAACAACAAAGCTTTATGATAAACATGATGACATACAAAAAGATTTTGGATTTAATTCTACAAGTGGTAATCCAACTTATACTCATAGTTCCCTTTTTGAGGAAGAAAATTCTTCAAAATCATATGTCAGTATTGAATATTTTTAATATCTAAAGAACCAAAATGAATTTTAACTACAGTATATATATTGGATTCCGAAACATCATAAGAATCTTTCCAAACAAAGATACATAGCGGGTTCCAGTAAATGCTCGACCACGACTTTACTCCTCACTAAGATATTAGCAGTAGTGAAAGAGAAACTTCAAGAGTACTGTGCAACAATATATTCAAGAAGTAGTGTAAAAAAAAAATCAGATGTGGATCCTTAAAAAATTCCTAGGAACTTTTGGACAATTTGAAATCACAAGATTTTACCAAATTCAACAGCTAAAAAAAATTACGACTTTTCAACTATTTACACAACCATTTCCCACGATAAATTTAAGTCCAGGCTTTTTGATATATCGACGACGTTTTGTCAATTAACAATGGTAAGTTCCATTCTTGTGTAGATTTGATATATCCTGGCGAGCTTGAGATAAGATACCACTGAGTCTGACACATCTGTTTCATATTTTGATATTTTACTTGAAAAAGACGTTTATGGTAATCTAACAACCAAGCGATGATAAACGACTTTTCTAACGTCAACTTTCCTTACATGTACTTATGCAGCAATATACCTTCGTCACCTGCATACGGAGATTCTATGTCTCATTTGATTGATACGCAAGAACATGCTCTACATATGAATAATTTCTAAAACGAGGTAAATTATTGACAAACAAGTTGATGAAACAAGAATTTCAGCAGTCTCGGTTAAAGCCATCATTTCGTAAGTTCTATGGTCAATATATTGAGCTTGTCAGCAAATACAGTTTATCATTGAGTCAAATGCTGACTGACATTTTTCATACTAATTGTTAGTCCATTATTTATACACTGAATTGACGACGGATTTTCCCGTTATTTCCCTATCATGACAAGGAGCACACGGCGGGTGTGACCGGTCGGCAGAGGATGCTCACTTCTCCATGGCACCTGATCCCACCTCTGATTTTTTGGAGGTCCGCGTTTGCTCTGCTCCTATTTTGCATTGTTT